AAAAAAGCACCTGTTTAATAAAAAAAAAAAAAAAAAAAAAAAAAAATCAGGGAATGAACGTGTCCAACGAAGGAACAATTAAAGCTAAATTTGATGAGTAATTACTAGGTGAGGCTCAACGGAAGAGACGGGTAACAGCTATGTTTTTTTACAGAGGAGAAAACTGAGGCACAAGGAAGAAAAGACCTAGAACTCAGGTCTAGCTCAACAGCCTGTGTTCTTTCCTCCAGAACCCCATTCCTCTCCTGTGCTATTAGGACAGTATGAAATGGAGAACCGGGGGCGGTGGCAGCCCATGCTGGGGAAAGGACCTCAGCCTCCCTCGCAGCCCGATTCAGTAAGAGGGTCTTGGATTTAACGGCGGTCAAAACAGTGCGTGATTGGACCAGCTCAGTATTAGGCACCGCCCAGTCTCTCACGCGTTGGTTTCAGTTACCTTGATTAGGGAAGGGATGCTGTCTGGGATGGGGATGCAGGATTTGCGAGCTTTGCCCCGGGAGCGAGCCGCAGGCGCCGGGCATCAAAAGTCGGGGTCTGGGTTTCCGGCCGGAGCACTGCTCCCGCGCTCCCGGAAGCTGCGCTCGCTGCCCGGGTAACGGGCCGCGGCGGTGTGGGAGGCGGCGGCGCTATGGACCTGGAGGACGTGGTGAGCCGGCGGAGCGCCGGGCGGGTCCCGACGGCGGGGCGGGAGGGGACTGAAGCCGAGGAGAGGAGGCTGCAGGACGCGGACTCGCTGTGGGGGCGGCCACTGGCGGAAGGAGGAAGGGGCGGATGGATGCGGGGCGGGGAAAGGGATGCGGCCCGCGGGCGCGCGCGCGCGCTCGTGTTCTGGGGCGAGGGGCTGGGGTTTCTGGCAAGATGAGGTTGTGGGTAAAGGGAGGATGGGGCGTTGTTAGCCGATGTGGGTGTGTTTCGGGAGGAGGACGAAGCCGTGGATCTTGTGGAGGGGCCCCCACATGGCTCATCCTCTCTCGACAGGACCACCTCCCACAAGGTCCCTCTGATGCAGGTGTGACTGCCAGGGAGGGCCGCGGGTTGGAACCAGCATGCCCCCAAGTAACCCCTGCCAGTCCCTGGGAATTTTGCCACTGGTGCAGGGATTCCAAATTCGGATTGGGGGATACTCCAAGTAGCGATAGTTATCAACACGGGGTTAATAAAAGCTTAACTGACCTGTCGAAATAAACTTGGCATTCATTTTTGACATACGCGAAATGCCGCACTCTTTGATGGTATTAAAGATGTATTTCAAAATTACATCAACGATGATGTCAAACACCAAAGAGCTAAGAATCCTCAATTTCGTGACAGTCTACGTATGTATGGAAAAATTACGGAAATAGAAGTCCTTATTGTAGTAAATGATAGATGGGTAACATCTGTAAATGCTAGGTTAAGGTCTTTAAACATCGTAACTCACCATAAGCCTGTATGCACTATGTGGCGATCATGTCTGTTTCACTCACTATCGAATCCCCAGCACCTAGTTAAATACTTAGTACATACATAGTTAATAGTCCTTATATTGCTGAATGAATAAATTGAAACTTGCAACAATCCTAATAAAAATCTGGTTCCTTCGTGGGATGTGTTTTTAGTGTCCTGGAGGGAGTTCCAAATGTGTGCCGTTTCCATTTTTTAAGTCTTCTCTATACTTAAACCTTGCCATCTTTTTTCATCACAGTATTTTCAAGTTTTATTTACTCATCTTTTTTTTTTCCATTTTACCCCTTCCACCTTTTCTTCATACTTTCCCTCACATACTGCATATTTTAGAAATTTTAATTTCGTTTCAAACTGCTCATGAAACTGAACCG